AAGAATTGTTGATCACGTCACTTGTTCTTTCAAAGTTAACCACTCTTTAATAACGTCATAGAGCACTGTGCTTCCAAATTTAATGGTTGAATTCTTCTTATACGCCTTTCTTTTTGAATGAATCTTTGTAAAGATATAGGTTCATTTCTAGCTATGTTTATTTCTCCATTGAGCTGACTTAAATCGTGTATTTAACACCCATAGTTTCCGCACTGGCTGAAATTTTGTACGAGGAACTTGGCTGTCAATAAGCTTCCTCTTTTCCATATAGATCTTTGCATGTTTGCAGGACTCATCTGGCATTTCTTTGAATTTGATGGCCTGTGCAGGTACATTGTCCGTTACTGCCACTAAAATTTTATGATCAGTAAGCAGTTGTCCTGTAATTAGATTTGTTAGAGTATTCATGCATTCTTGCTGCTTAGCGGGTTGCCTTGGAGTCTCGGGAGAGTGCATGAGTGGCACACAGACTTTTGTAGGAGCAGATTCTATGGAAATTTCAAAGTCATTAGGGGCTGTTTCCTCCTTTGGGCGTGAATAATAGGCAGATGGCTCATCGGTTCCTGCACCAACCTCTTGATCATCATAGCTTCTCCCACGGTTTACTGCTTGAATTTGAAATTCTTGATTGGTTATTTCTATGTACAATTCAGTTGATTCCAATAATTTAGATAGTTTGTCCTCCACCGAAAGCTCTTGTGGCACATTAAGCCGCTCAAAATACTGCCAAAGATGCTCTTTCAAACTTTGAGTGTGGAACTCTGAATGGGGATTGTTCCAGTTCCATTTTGAATCGTTTCTCATATTTATATACTCCTGGACATAATCTGGAAAATATTCTCTCTCAGAACATTGCAAAATATCATGAATATTTGAATTACAAAGAGCACAAACCGGGCTTAAATCCATAATAACCCGTTTTTGCTAATGAAACCCAAAGAGGTGGTCCACCGGGTGTTAGATTGAATTCAGGGGGAACTGCGAATTCCATTGTTGCACTGCTAAAAAAGAAACAAATTGTAACCTACAAATTGTAATGAAAATTAATTTTTTTTTCTTATATGTATAAACAGCAATAACTAATTGAAATTCTGATTAGTAGGAATTATTTTAAATAATTCTCGGCAACGGCGCCATTTTATTGATAGGGATTTTACTACTCATGTGAATGCGATAAAAACTCGTATAATACTTGCAAGAATCACAAGGTTGTTGTAGTATAAACGGATCTCGCAAGGTCATTCTCCACAGAAATTATTAAATAATTCGAAACAAACCAAATTCCAATTAATTATTGTAAAGTAGAAATTGAGATGATTAATTTTATAACCTACTTAAATTAAAAACGAATTTAACTATTAAAGATAGGACAATCTGCAATATTAAAACTGGAGGGAAAAGAAAACAATTTTGGGAGAAATCAAACTAAGAAAGCACTAGGGTTCCACCATCACCTAGCAATCTTACGAACTTTTACCAATTACTCATGATCTACACATGCCACTTTGAATGTTAGATTTTTCTAATTCATATTCTACTTGGAACCTCCAACATAGAACGTATATCTAACATGCAACCTGTCCGGACGTTTGGATCAAATCTGAACATGAAAGACTCATTATGCTTTATGAAAACCCTTTGAAAAACCATGCAACCCTTAAGACGTGATGTTCATCCTAAGTGAAATTATAATTATTAATCACAAGAAGCCAGCGTCAATTTCAGGGAACCTTCTGACCAAAATTGCATCAAATTACTTTTCTAAAGATCCTAATGTTGATCAGGCATTAAGACAATTAGATAGTTTTAATCCCAGTAATTAATAATTCAAAGTATGCATGCAATCAATCATAAGCAATTAAATAAAAATCACATATTCATGCTAAGACTCAAGGCTTCGCCCTAGTAAAAGAATTTAGTTACGCATATTCATAATTGAAATCATAGAAAATATTATTAAGAAAATGATTGAAAACACCTTCAAGTAGAAAATCTCCAAAACCCTAGCAATTATTTCTGTCTCCAAAATTGCATAAAATAAAGCGTAGAGAAATATTGTAGACGGCCAAGCAATCTATTTGCTAAGCCCCCACACAAACCCTAAAAACAGGTCTTTTATTCCCACTAGGAAACTAAAAATAATAATAAAATAAAATAGGAAACATAACGTTAAATTAAATGGTAAAATTCGCCTAAAATCTGAACAGCCACGTTTTGGACCCATAAGCTACTCCAAAACTGGCCCAATATAGCTGGATTTAATGTTTGGAATATTTTGAACACTTCTCCAGAAGGCCACGAACCCATCCGAGGTCATCTTGGGCTCAAAAAATGTAATTTAAGCCCAAAAACGTCATTTTCCAGTACTGCGCATCGCTCCTTTATTTTATCGTCAGAAAATAACCGCTTGGTGAAAAATCCCAAAGTTTGATACGATCAAGCTAAGTGACTCATGAATGTCCTCCAAATGGAATTACTCCAAAATTCGTCCATTTGGTCATGCTTTGCTCCAGAGGAATTTGAAAGTCCTATATTGAAAATACAATTCAAAATATCAAAATTCTTCTAAAATATTAACCAAAATATACTAAGATTAGGGTAAAATATATAATATAAAACTACTCATCACACCGAGCGCATTTATCCACTCAACTGAACAGTAATAGACTCCAATGAATAGTAATAGGCCAAAACATCTCCACCTCTAAAAAAATGTGCTAGCACCTAGTCTAAAATGTGCTGATACAAACGATCTCCACCCTTACAAAATGCGCTGGCACCTAGCCCATTTAATTTTTTTTTTAAATTTTCTTTTATAAAAGAATAAATAAATAAAATAGTTTTAATTTTGGATAAGATTTTTAAGTAATCTTATTTAGTGTGTTTTTTTTAAAGTTTATATGGTGAGGTTATGTAATTTTATTTGGTGTTTTTTTTTAAAGTTTATTTGGTGAGTTTAATGTAATCTTATTTAGTGAGTTTATGTAATCTTATTTGATGTGTTTAAATAAAGTACAAAAAATAAATTTGAAATTGCTTAAAGTTCTAAAAATAAATAAGAAATTACATTAAAAATTACATAAGAAATTAAATAAAGTTCTAAAAATAAATAAGAAATTACATAAAAATTAAATAAAGTACTACAAAGAAATACGAAATTATACAAAGTTTGTGGAGTTAGGATATGTGGTGCTAGGATATTCGTTGCTAGGATTTCTGTAGCTAGAACCCCCTCGACTTGTTTCGGCATCTCTTGCACGCCTCTTTCACACGACCTCTTTTTTTTTTCCGATGTCCAAAAATATTTTGAATTCGGAGATAGTCCTACTAGAGGCTTGTTCATAATGTCACGATCTGCTTGGGCCATCCTTTATTCTCTAAGCATCTCATTTTCTCGATGAAGTGCTTCTCTAATCATCTCATTCTCTCGATTAACTATTTCTCTTTGTCTCTCAGCCTTGCATCACGAGCCTTAGTAGCTGCTATTATTGCTGCAATAACAGCAGCTTTTTCCTCATCTCTAGCCTTTTCCCGTGCTATGTTCAGTTCACCTTGGCGAGCAAGTTCTTCCATATATTTAGTGTAGTCATTTTTGGAAGAACTACCTTTTTTCTTTGATGCCTTTTTACCTTGAGGTCTGAGGGACTGACGAGTCGGTTGGGTCTCCGGCACTTGTTCAGGCGTCCCTTTCGTGTCTTCAAATGTGTTGGCTTCTTGTTCAGCTGTGTATGCTTCTGGCGAACTGTGTAGACCCATGCCATGCATGACAACTTCTGGACCAGTTGCCACAATTTTGTATCTAGGGCAATCTTTGACAATTTGCCAACATACCCATTTGTTGAATGATTTGTTTTGGTTCTTTGCATTGTAGAATGCTTGTGCTTGTAGTGTCTATAAAAATGTGGGATGAGATAGTAATAAAAAATGCGGGTGGAATGCATATAAATTACATAAAAATTACATAAGAAATTAAATAAATTAAAATATTGATGCGGGTGGAATGCATATAAATAAATAAAAATATTGTCACCTGATCCGCTAAACTTGTCCCACTATGCAGATTATCAGAAGCATGCGAGATGACGTTTTTCCAACAAGTAAAGGATGTGTTGAGTTTTTTCCAACGACCTTGAAGACTTTGACTAGTTCTGGCGTCTTTTCCATGTACATCGCAAAACGCTTTCGTAATTTTACTCCACATTTCTCGCTTATCCATCTCATTACCCGTAATCGGATCATGAGTAGTGTGAACCCAACATTCACACAACGTAACATCTTCAATGTTCTTCCACGAAGACATTTTTTTCTCTCAAAGTGTAGAAAATATTGAAATGTAGATAGTGTAGAAAGTGTAGAAAATATTGAAATGTGGTGTAAGGTGGAAGATGAGGGTTAGGTATTTATAGAATTTTTTTTTTAAAATTTTTTTTTCTATATTTTTAAAAAAAATTTCTGTATTTTTTAATAATTTTTCTGTATTTTTTCATAAATTTTAATAAATTTTAATATAGTTAATTAATTTGGACCGTTGGATTTGAAAAATATTCAAATCCAAGAGTCAAGGTGTTGCCACGTGGCCAACGGTCATAATTCTGACTGTTGGGCATTTTTTAATTATTTTTATTTTTATTTTTTGTGAAAAAAACGTGGACCGTTGATCTGTGATCGGACGATCCATTTTAAAAGTCAAATTAAATTTTTTTTTTACCGCTGGAAATCCAACGGTCTACAAAAACTAGCCGTTGGAAATCCAACGGCACTGAGGAGGGCCACATAGCTCTAATATGGGTGAACACAAGTGGGCTGACAAGCGTGCCCCGCCGCCTGCACCCTTGTCTCCTACTCATGCCCAGTCGCGAGTGTGCTACACGCGCCAGCCAAATAGGCCGGCCTCTGGGTCTGTCCGAAATGGGCTGGTCTGTTGCTTGGCTTAGGTTGGGTGCCAAACTGTTTTGCAGGCTGAAGCAGATTGATAGCGTGCTGGGCTGATTTTTGGACAGGGTGCTGGGCAATTTTGTGTCCGGTTGAACTGCTTTCAGCTCTCAATGGTAATTCTTCTTTGTCCATAACTTGTGTCATGGCCATGGCTGCCTCGGCTGACAATTTCTATCAAGACTTTGACGTTACATTTGGCAATGGACGTGCCAAGATACTCAACGGAGGACAGCTTCTCACACTTAACCTTGATCAGGCTTCCGGTTCCGGTTTCAAATCCAAGAACGAGTACTTATTTGGAAGAATTGATATGCAGATCAAGCTTGTTGCCGGTAACTCAGCGGGAACTATTACTGCCTACTATGTAAGTAGTACTACTACATACCCTCTTAGTTTGTATCCTTGCAACTCTATAAATATATTTTGTATAATTGCTTTGCTAATTGTGAAACACAATTCCTATATGATTTGCAGTTATCCTCCGAAGGTCCACTCATGATGAAATCGACTTTGAGTTTTTGGGAAACGTATCCGGAGATCCCTACACACTACATACCAATGTGTTCAGCCAAGGAAAAGGGAACAGAGAACAGCAGTTCCACCTTTGGTTTGATCCCACAAAGGCCTTCCACACCTACTCCATTGTTTGGAACACGCAACGCATTATGTAAGTAGTACATGCATGCACTCACCTGAGGGAATGTGTTGAGAATATCATGATAGGAATTTTACCACCTACAAAAGTAGGGATAAAATCACACAAAATACTTGCAAGAGAACAAGGGTGTTGTAGTATAAATGACTCAAGCAAGGTCGTTTCCATTGGGATTATTTAAAACAATTTATGAGAAACTCTAATCCTAGTTAACTATTTAAAAACAAAGATTGGAAAATGGTGATTTAATGATCTAAATTAAGAAAAATGAAATTAATTAAAAATGCTAATTAAAATCTGCAATTCTTAGAGAAAGAAAAAGGAAACAATTTTTTTTTAGATTTCAAAATGAGAAAATACTAGGGTTCTGCCGTCACCCTAACAATCCTGCATATTTTGAAGGTTAGGTTTTCCTAAAGTATGCCCTAGTTGTAATCCCCAACATAGAATGTATATCTAATCATGCAACCTGTCCGTGGTGTCCAGATCGAATATGAACATGCAAGACTCATTAAGTTTTGTGAAAACCTTTTGAAAAACCATATAACTCCTAAGACGTGTCGTCCATCCTAAATAGTTACACATGTTAACCACAAGAAGTCTTAGTCAATTTTAGGGACATCCCTCCGCCAAAATTGCATCAACTTACTTTTCTAATTATTCTAATGGTCGCGAATCACTAAGACAAATAAATAGTTTAGAGCACAGTGATTAACAATCCAAAACTTGCATGCATAAATTCATAAGAAAATTAAAAAGAGACTACATATTCTTGCTAAGGATCATAGTCTCACCCTAGCAATAGAAAATTAGCTACGCATATTCATAATTAAAATCAACATAATTATATTAAACTAGAAAAAGAATGGAAACACTTGAAAGTATAAGTCTTGAATTCTTTAAGTTTTTCCCAAAGTCTTCTCCCAAAAAGTTGCATCCGTCCCCGAGAAACCCTAGGTTTGCCAAAAGGCTTATTTATATTCCTCTAAATAAAATTCTCCCAGTCAAAGGTCTTAGAATAAGACTAGGAAACTAAATAAATTAAAATAAAATAGGAAACATAATCCTAAATTAACTTGGTAAATTCGCTTAGAAATCTGCACAGCCACATTCTGGCCCCATATCAGCTCCAAAACTGGCCCAAAATAGTTGGATGTAGAGCTTGGACTATTCTGAACACTTCTCTAGAAGGCCATGAACCTATTTGAGGTCATCTTGGGCTCCAAAAACGCAGAAACGTCACTTTTCAGTAACGTGCACTGCTCCTTCATTTAATCGCCAGAAAATCCCAAATTTTGACACGAACAAGTCAAGAGACACACGAACGTCCTCCAATTTGAATTGCTCCAAAATTCATCCGTTTGATCATGTTTTGCTCCAGAAGAAGTCGAATATCCTACATTGAATATATAAAGCAAAATATCAAAATTCTACCAAAATAATTACGAAATTATACTAACAATAGGGTAAAATATATAATATAATATTGACTCATCATATCACTTGTTATTTTTAGATACTTTCTATTACAATTGCAAATTTATGCAGATTTTTGGAAGATAACATGCCAATCAGAGTGTTCAACAACTTGGAATCAGTTGGAGTCCCATTCCCCAAAAACAAGCCCATGCGGATTTACTCAAGCTTGTGGAATGCAGATGACTGGGCAACAAGAGGTGGCCTTGTCAAGACCGATTGGACTCAAGCTCCCTTCACTGCCTCTTACAGAAACTTCAAGGCCAATGCTTGTACTTCTGGCTCATCATCCTCCTGTGCCTCCACTGCATCTACCAATTCAGTGGGGGACAGTGCATGGCAGACTCAAGGGCTCGATACAGCTGGCCGTAACCGGCTTTGATGGGTGCAACAAAAGTTCATGGTCTACAACTACTGCAATGACCTTAAACGTTTCCCACAAGGCCTCCCAGCGGAGTGCAGAAGATCAAGGTTCTAGAGATCCAGATATCTTACGATACATACATCATCACATATTCCCCGCTCTATGCAGCATTCATTTGTGTAATTAGATTCAATTTATATGATACATTCTTTCATCGTTTTTCTAATAACGAATGTCTAATGTGACATTATTGTCGCATGTTTTCCTTTACTCTTACAATGTAAGCTGAGCTGAGATTCTGCAATATACATATAGTAGTTCATATTAGGCGATAAAAATTCATAATATTTGATTTTTCTTCTAACAATATCAAGAAAGTGTTCATTACCTGTTTTACATAATTACCAACAGTAGTTTTTTTTTGTTAATTACACAACATAATATGCCCTTCTCCATTACCACGTAGTCTTGTATGCTGAAAAATGGACCAAACCAAAGTTGTCAATCTGGTTTTGCAGTTGTTTTATTTGTTTTGTTTGTGGTTTTGCAGCTTAATTGACACTAAAATTGCCCGAACCGGCAACACTATAGTTTCCATCTCAAGAAAATTGTTGGGGCTTGAATAAAATGTGATTTAATATCTTTTTCTTTCTGGCGTACTCAATCTTGATCGTTTAGGTTTTACGTTCGTTAAAGAAAAATATCTTATTTTCATTATGTCTCGTCTCTTTATTGTTTTAGGTGTTTTGGTATTTTCTCAAAATGTTTCATTGCTGATATATATAATCAACATTGTGGTCATTTAGCCTCACAATGAGTTAGTAGTAATGTTGTTCAAATTTACTTTTGACAACAATCAAACCTGAGACCTCTTATTTATAAATGTAGAAGAATACCATTAAACTGTAATAGTAAGTGGCGACAAAAATATAAAGCTAACGATAAAAAATTTAACTAACTAAAAATCCATCCATGGGGCAAATGTGTAATTAACCAAAAAAGAAATGAAGTTTTAACGAAACACTCTCGGTACTGTTCACCTTTAACAAAATGACATTTTTACCTTTTCTGGTACTATTCACTTATACATTTATTTGTCATTTTTCATTAAAATTAAAGTTTTTGAAGACTTTTTATTAATTTTCTTAAAAAGAAAAAGGAAATAAGCAGAAGAAAAGAAGTGGCTAGCATTGTGTGGGCTCTCACATTGTTTGGCACCACAGCTTTTTGGGCTTTGTCGCAAACCAAGTCTCACCAAGATCCATTAAGAATGGCACCCATCGCCTTATCCCTGAAAATTAACAAGTAGAAATGCAGTCGACCTCATCAGCTCTACTGCGCAAATGCTCTTACCCTCTCCCCCTTAACCACTTCCTCTTCCACTTCCACCATCGACACCCTCGCAAAACCCTCAACTTCCTTCCCCTCCCCCCAAAACCCCAAACCCACTCCTCAAACCACTGCGCGCTTTCCATCTCTCACACCAACAGTTGCAGCAGAGAGCACCAGGAGCAGAGCCAGAAGCACACCAACGGCGATTCCGACCCTTATCAGAACGATTTGTTGTTTCTGCAGTTGAAATCCTCCGGCGATACCGAGGCGGCCAGTAATCAAAGCCCAGAAGCCCCAAACGACGAACGAGGACGAGACCAAAGAGAGAGCGAAGCCGATAATTCCGAGGGACTTTTGACAAACATGTGGTGGGCAGACGTGAAAGCCGCACTGGGACAAAGGTTCAACTTTGGAGCCATAGTTCGTTCGGCCATGGTGCTCACAAAGGACAAGCACTTGGCGCTGCCGCATGTTTCTGTGCCTGATGTTAGGTACATTGATTGGCCTGAGTTGCATAGAAGGGGTTTCAAGGGTGTTGTGTTCGACAAGGATAATACTATCACTGCGCCGTATTCCTTGACGCTTTGGGGCCCTCTTGGGTCTTCGTTGGAGCAGTGTAAATCAGTTTTCGGACCCGATATCGCGGTGTTCAGTAACTCGGCTGGTAATTTTTGGCAGAACCCATCTGAAAATTTTAGTTGTTTTTAATTGTCAAAGTAATGATTTTGGTTTCATGGTTAGGGCTTTATGAGTATGACCATGATGGTTCAAAAGCTAGGGAGCTTGAAGGGGCAATTGGAATTAAAGTCATAAGACATAGTAAGTGTTTGTTTGTTTGTTCTTTTTTCTGCTGCAAAGTTTTTTAATCTCATTTTTTTAATAAACCAAATTCCATTTGAAAAGAGTAGGTTGGTTAAATACAAGTTTTCCATAGGAATTACAGATTTTATGTAGTATTGATGTGGGTATTTTTGTCATATGTTATAGGAGTGAAGAAACCAGCTGGAACATCTGAAGAGATCGAGAAGCATTTTGGTTGTAAATCTTCACACCTAATTATGGTAGATAAGATTCATAGACCTCTTGAATTGTTCCATTTGATCTTTGTCTGAATTATAACATAGTGACTCATGGGGTATTTTTGTTTGTTGTAGGTGGGTGATCGGCCTTTCACTGATATTGTCTATGGAAATCAAAATGGCTTTCTCACTATTTTAACTGAACCGTTGAGTCTCAATGAGGAGCCGTTCATTGTTAGGCAGGTTGGTTTTTGTTTCTTCTCAAATCCATTTCATACACCGAAAGTGAATGTCATGTCATTTTCTCTTTTCCAAACAAATAAATGTTATAAAATCTGATTAGGCTGTTTTTGAAAGCAAATGGTTGTCTCTTCCTGACTTGGGTAAACAAAAAATCAATCTGCTAAATCTTAATTTGTGAAATACCCTAGTTTGTGGTGTCAGTCCTTGTTCTCCATATTGTCCGTAATTTTTTCCTTGTGGTTTTTAGGATAGTTTAGAATCCTCTTATGATCTGTCTTGTAGGGTAAGGATGGTGAATAAACCCAGGTTGTAGCAAACCAAATATAAAGAAGATACGGAGGGAAATCAACCTAAAAATCACAATCTTCCAAAGAAAGAATAAAAGGACCATCCAATAGTATAGAGTTCGAATGATTCTTCAGACTCATACAAGAATATCTTGCGGTCTCACCCATTCAAAGGTTTGACTTGTAGGTTCTCTTTAAGTTCACTCAAACAAGAACAAATGAGCAGCTCCCATATTTCCAAATGTTATGAGTCATTTTTCCCAGTTTGTGCCAATTTGAGAGTGACTTGAAAACAGACCGGGCAAAAACAAAGCCACTTCATACCTCATAGTGGCTATGCGGGTGAAGAAAAATAATCTTAAGGGAATCAAGGACTCTGATTCTTGTTCTAAAGAAATAAAAATGGCGCAAAGGCCTTCTATGCTACCTAGAAGGGTTTCTTCTAACATCGTTGTTGCCTGAGATACATTCTGACCAATTTTTATGCCCTCTGATCCTCTCCCTTTTGAACTTATAATCACACGCAAACTTCAAAAACACCTTATGAAGTTTCAAACTCCCAATCATGGCATGGAAACCCCTCTGGAATATGGTGTAACAATGGTCACCATCTTAGTAAAAAGACTAGGCTGTGGAGTGTTTTTAGATTCAGCGTTGGTACTGGAGGCAAATATGATGCAGCAACAACCACCACTTATCCCACTACATGGGGTAGGCTGTAGAACACCACTACGCTCTGTTTTGCGCCAAGTCTTCCGTTAGCTCCAAGTACTCCATGTCTTTTCTTAAGGTCTCTTTCCAAGTCATCCTAGGTTTTCCTCTACCCCTTTTGCCGCGAGCCTTTATGCAAAAGAAATGAAAATTCTTTTTCTTCATAATTTAGACTTATTTTTGTGTTAGATACTTTGACTGTATCTACACTGCGATTTATGTTTTTCTATTGTCGGAATAAAGGTCTAAGGTTCTGTTATTTGTCTCTGAACATTTGCTTGTAACAATTGCAGGTGAGGAAACTAGAAACATCCCTTGTGAATCATTGGTTTAAGAAAGGGTTAAAGCCCACCAGTCATAGGCTGTTGCCTGATGGCAAGCAGTGTGTCAAACATCCACCACCCCTGTAAGAATTATTATTGATATAATTCAAAAACAAAGTTCTTCTGTTTGTCCTAGTGATTTTGTTAGTTTCACCATTTGTTGATTCAAAGCAATGAGAAATTATTTATTTTCTTTCTCCAGTAAATTGAGTAATATTTTAACCCGGCTTCATGAAAGGAAAAATAAAGAATAAAAGAGAAATGAAAGTGAAGATAAAAAAGGCCAAAAAATCCAGGCAGTCCAATTCAACCTTTAACTAAGATCACTATTGTCATTGTATTTAGAGTTTGATTAACGACATATATGGCAAGGAATAGAAGTTTGTGGTAGCAGACGTGTATGTCTAAAGTACATCTCTCAAGCTTTTAAGAGTTGAATGAATCCCTAAAATGGTATGGCTCAACAATTAAAGGTGTGCACCATGAGTTTTTAAAGGCAAAACCCTAATTACACCAGGTGTGTAATTATGGAAGATATATGAATATGACACATATTACCCTCTCGACTATTGTATGGCTTGGAAAACTTAATCATGGCCGAGAAGAGGAGAGAAACTTAGCTAGACCGGTTTCATACCCCCTCCCTCTCTATCCCTCCCCTTGTAGAGGACATTAACTCGTGACATGCAAGTTTTTCTCGGATAAGAGAGCCTTCGTGGGCAATTAATAACTTACTGATTGATAGATAATGACTTTCAAGAAAATGGTTACTGGCTAGGTTCCATGAGAGAAGCCAATCAAGATAGTGCTTGTCTTATGCATGGCTCATTTGTGGTCTTTATTTAGGAATTGCAAAGGTTTTGCACTTATGGTAGAAACTTAATTCAATGGCTTGTAGTGCCATTTAGCAAAAAACTTTACCAGCAATGCAAGAAATAGTTTGTGCAGTTTCTACAGCAAGGCATCCTAGTGTTTGGAGTCACTTCTGTATTAGTAAGGAAAAAAAATATGGGGGGAGCAGGACATGGATGGAGAGGTTTTACCGTCTCTTCGGGTCCTCGATCTTCGTCATAATTTACTTAGAGGAGAAATACCACTGCACTTTGGAGAACTGGAAAGCTTAGAAGCAATGTATTTGTCGCACAATGCTCTCTGGTTCCTTCCCATCCAGTTTTGGTAAAATGTTACACTTGACGCTATAGATTTATCCTACAATCAACTGGAGGGTCCTCTTGCAAACATTGAAGCCTTCAACGAGGCTCCAATTGAAGATTTAGAGAATAATAAAGGCTTGTTTGGTAATGCCACTGGCCTGAAGGTGTGCCAATCTACCCTAAGAAACAGGAAAACGAACAACAATAATACCTCTCTGATTGCAGCCCTCGTTTCAGGAGATCTGTTTCTTGGGTTCATTGTAGTTGTGATTCTCTACATTCACCTCCCTCGCCAGATTGTAAAAAATGGACAATGCCAAGAGAATTACAACCGAAGATCTCTACACAGTTTGGAGCTTTGATGGAAGATTAGTGTATGAGGACAATGTTGAAGCTACAGAGGAATTTGACTAGAAACATTGTGTAGGAACATGGGGCCGTGCAAGTGTTTACAAAGCTAAGTTGCAAACAGGCCAGATTATTGCAGAGAAGAAACTTCACACGCTACCAGAGGGTGGGATAGAAAACCTGAAGGCCTTTGAGAGTGAGATTCGTGCACTCTCAGGAATCTGCCATCACAACATTGTGAAGCTGTATGGCTTTTGTGCGCATCCACGGCAGTCATTCTTGGTTTACCAGTTTCTGGAAGGAGGAAGCTTAGAAGGGTTACTAAGCAGTGACAAAGAAGCAACTATGTCTGAATGGATTTCAAGGATAAATCTGGGCAGAAGTGTGGTGAACGCTTTATCCTACATGAACCATGATTGCTTGCCTCCAATTGTTCATCAGGACACATCAAGCAAGAATATCTTGATGGATTTAGAGCATGCTGCTTATGTCTCCGATTTTGGCACAGCTAGAATATTGAAGCCTGACTCTTCCAATTGGACTTCATTTGCAGGTACATTTGGATACACTGCTCCAGGTAGTTATTTCTTCTTGTTATAATTTGTCACAATAAGCATATAATATCTGAGTGCAACACAGTTGCACCCATACGTTTTTGTTTACTATGAAATGGAGTTTTGAATTGTTTTGTCGGGTTTGCAGAGTTTGCTTGCACAATGGAAGTGAATGAGAAATCTGATGTCTATAGCTTTGGAGTGTTAACTTTGGAAGTGATCATGGGAAAGCATCCGAGAGATCTCATGATCTCAGTTCTCTCCTCGACAATATCAACTGTGCTTAATACACCGTTGACGAACATTTTGGACCAAAGGCTTTCACCTACAAGAGATCAAGTTGCAGAGAAAGCGGCGTTTCTTGTGAAGCTTGCATTTTCATGCTTGCCAACCCACAATCTCGGTCTGCCAAGCAACAGGTTTCCCAGGAGCTAACAAATATTTCAAGGGCACCTTTACCAATCTCATTTGACAAGGTTACCTTGGGGCATCTTGTTAACAATGCTTAGTTTCCTCAGTATCTGCATCAAATATTTCCCGCAAATTTAAGATTGTGTATCCAAATTTCGCTCTCTCGGACTGTATAGTAATTTCTCTCAATTTACCGTTGTTTATATATGGCTATTGTCTGTTTAGTCTCTTCTAGCTACATTATTGATTAAAAGTTTGTAACCTATTCTAAAACTAGTTCACCTGTCCAATCATTTAGATGGTTTTACCATTTGTAGGCAATGAGATAAACGTTCTCTTGGTCACTATGGGTGTGTTTGAGATGATATAGTAGTTGATAGCTGCGAGTGCATCAGTCATTTTTAATGTCCACTGGGATTGCAGTTTTGTTGTAGCTTTGTATAGTCGTGATACTATATGATGCTTTTACCATTGGCATTGCATAAGTTTTATCTGGTCCCATAGGGTCACAGGGTTAACTTAGTTGTTCGGTTGATGTTTGCGAGAAAATTGTGTTATCCTTGTTTAGAAATAATTTTCGATTTTGATCATAAAGATTGTCAATTTTTGTGGATAATTTTAGTTATTTTCAATTTTATGGTGTTGAGCACTGTAGCAGCATCCTTTCTTTCACTATAATTTTAGCTTTGTATATGCATTCTTCAGATGCTTACTTAAAACCAACTTAGTAAAAAGGATTTAATATTAATAGTTGATCTCATTTTCTTTTAAACAGTTTGATTCGGATTTGATATAAAGAGGAAACAGTGCTTTTGAGCATTTCGTCTCTTGACTTCCTAAGGTTCATTGTTTCTTGTTATCAGACGTACTAGAAGGGTCGACATATAAAAGATAAATACAACAAAGGTCATCAACTGTTTAGAAGCTTTACCTATACTGACAATCTCAATATCGGCTTGTTGACAAGTGACCTAGAACAAGACAATGATTGTTACTCTTGTGTTTGCATGGGGTAAGCTTTTGTTTCTCCCTTTTGATCTTTTTAAGAAATAGAAATATGCAAGTTAAAAAGGAACATATTCTATTGAATAAGTTTACAACTAAATGAATCCAAAGCTTGCCTGTGACAACCAGTTCCTAATTTTATGATTTATAAATTTTAAGTGTGAGTTGACCAAAATGCCCTTAGAAGAGAGATTGTTGACTTTCTTTGACCATCTCTTTGTGACGTGTACGAGCTATTATTTTAGGGAGCTTTAATGAAAAGGGTTTGGGCCAACAAATATTTAACCAAAACCATCACCAAATGTTATTTAACCAAAATGGCTCAAAATTTAATAAAAAACCATCCTTTTCTCACCCTTCTCTGGCTTAAGCGGTGCAAGCTCAGCGCAACACTTGAGTTTTTTCAACTTCTCCAATAATGGCGACCCCGACAACAACATCTTCGATGTCGAGTTTGATGTCTTCGAAAACCAAGAGTTCCAGGATCCTGATGACAACCATGTTGGTTTGGACATCAACTCCCTTACGTCTAATGCTTCGAGCACCGCAGGGTTTGTTTGTTGACTTTTTTCTGACGGTTTTGTTCATGGGTTTGACAGTGTAGGAGTCGATCGTTTGCCTCGGAGCTTTGGGTTTGGCCATGGCGAAGATTCTAGAGGCGCATCCCCCAAACCAGACACGCATAATTTGGAATAAGAAATGTGGGATACTTCGTTGAGGGGTTGGATTGTAGAATCCTAAGATGGACACATCTACATAGGACAATAGCTCCTTTATTATAGAGGACATTTTCTTCTACATATTGACTAGGGTTTGTTTGTTGATTTTTTTTAGAATGAAATTGTTTTGACTCTCGGAACTGTGAGGTTGGACTTGAAATTTCTGTTTTCTTGGTTTCCCACTAGGTGCAATTTGTTGAGTCACTCATCCATTAACATTGTTGAACTAGGCAGAAAAAAGAACCAAAACATAAAACTGTTTCTAGAGAACCCAAAACATAACACTGTTTCTGAAGAAAAAAAATCAGATACAATGTTTGTTTTGTCTGTGCACAAACAAACATTGTATCTAGAAAGAAAAGAACCAAAATCCAGAAACAGTAACTAAAATTCCAGAAACAATGACTTAAATTTCAGAAACAGTGACTTAAATTCCAGAAACAGTCTATGTTTTGACCTTTGACTGTTTATTTTCTTTCATGCATCAATTGATTATATTTAAGAAACATGATGCTTAATTTGCTTTGAATCCAAATACAGTGAATTTCACTATTTCTTTTCTAGCTTACATTTAAGAAACAATGTGTCTATTTCATTTGGACCTAGAAACAGTGATTTAGTTCCAGAAACAGTGACTTAGATTCCATAAACAGTAACTTAGGTTCCAGAAATAGTAATTGAGATTCCAGAAATAATGTTACTTAAAATCCAGAGACAGTTTGTTTTTACAGTCCAAAAACAGTGACCCGTCGTTATTATTGAATAGCATGCAGATCTCAAATTTATTTTCTAGAGAAACAAACGATGAACTCCACTGAAGAAGAAAAATTAAAAAAAAGTACATCAAATACACTATGAATAATAACGACAATCACATTTCAACGAAATAATACAAAATATAAATTAAATAGTATGAGGATCTATATTTTTGTTTCAAAAAAAAAAAAAGGTCTGCAAAACAACAATAAACTCCATTAACAACGAAAATCTGGAACTCAACCTAAAAAAGTTAGGGGTAAAATGGACAAATAATGATTTATTATAGTTGGGCCATTTTTAGTTGGACTACTTTAATATGAGAATTGTACTAATCATTAAATAAAACTTATAACATGGTTTTTGATTAAAACTAAAACTTTTGAAACTCTTTTCATTAGTTTTCTTATTATATTACCGTATTCTCGAAGTACTCGACGGTACCAACGCATAGGCTCAAGCGAAACTGAATTAAGAGTTATGACGAAGATTTTACAAACTGCAGAGCGTGATGGGCGTTTTGGTAAATTCACGTTATGGGAGATATTTTTCTGTATTTTCATTGGTGACTTTGAGCTGTGTGACACGTGGGCTCCACACCCCACTCTTTCCCTCTACCCCGTGTCTCCTAATCCTCATAAATCTTTTTTTTTTCAACTTTCCACTCATTTGCTGCCACCTCATCTCTCATTTCCTCATTTCACTCTCTCTCATATCTCAGCTCCGGCTCATCTATCTCTCTCTGCAAGTGCAGAGAAACCGGATCATACCACCCTCGCCGTTCTGGCAAGCACCACCACCACGAATGTTCCCCGAATGAGACGATGGCCGATGAACAATGAAGTTTCCTCTCCTTCATCCCTCACCTCTCCCTCTTGCCTGTTCTCTTTTTCTCTGCAGTTATGCAGACATTACCATGACGGAGCATCGTCGTCTTCTGTCAAAACCATCAAAACCAGATAACTAGCCTCGAAAAGAGATCACCATCACTGTCATCCAATCAGTTTAGTGTACCCTGGTTCAAAATGTGGCTGCGTAGTGGCTTTGGCCATTGTTCATCGTCTCATTTGTCGAAACTTGATTTTTCCAACAAAGGTGAATCTCGAAAACCCCAAGTTCTCTGTAGATCATATTTTTTTAGTACGATTAGGGTAAATTTGAGGGATTTTGGTGACGTTTGGATGCAGAAAACACCCTTGGAAATTAACCCAATTTTCCGGCGAGAGATCCGGCGGCTTTGAGCTGTTTTCTGGCCAATTTCGACCACGACAGGACCTTATGTTGGTATATTTCTCTTCCTTTCCTTTTGAGCTTCAAATTGGTATATTAGATTGCTAGTTTTAGTTAAGATTCGAAGCTAGGTGGAGTTGGGAACGTTTCCCGGCCAAGTTTCTTGAGTTCCGGCTGTTACAGTGGCAACTGGCCGAAAAAGAAGAAAAAAATAGGGGGGAAGCCCAGGTCTGCAACCCGAATCCAAATCCAAACCCGGGATCCAGCCCACCTGGTTCTAAAATGCATATGGAATATTCTAGAATATTCGAAATTTTCTCAGAAACCCCATAGGCTAATTTCGACGTTCTGAGTCCATGTTTGACATCCATTTTGGAAAATTTCACAGTTTTAATGTAGTTAACCCCCGAGGCATCTCAGTTGACATTTTAGGGTTGACCGTTGACTTTTTACAAAATTTGTTGAGGACCCTCCTTAGCATATTTTGACACCCTAATTCTAAATCCGCACTCCGTTTTTCCAATTTTAATTGTCTTAGTGGAGTTTTACTAATGGATCCCAATATTATGCTTAGGTGTGATTACTGTCGAAGACTCCGGCTATCCTAGTTCGAACGATTGTGACCAAGCAAGTATCTGTGAGTGGGTCTTTGCTTTTAAATATTATATATTGATTTAATTTCCATTTATACGATTGAAAAGAATTTCTTACATGTGCCTAGATTAGTCTAATGTTTATAAAAATTAGCGAAACAACGGAATTTACAAAATTATCCTAAATCTTACGAGATGCACATGTATGATTACTTTTGTGGGATTTTAATTATGGCCATGATTAATATTTATGGAATAGTATTATGTCGACATAATTTATTGATTTACCGATGTATGATTTTATTTACATTATCTGCTCATCGTTGCTACACCAGTGCTAGTACTTGCCCGAGCCAGGGTTAGTCTTTTACATGTATGTTCACATCGTACCGTACACTCACTTTGGATCCATTGTAGGTGCCACTCCTATCCTAGATTGCTATAGGCAATTAGGACTCGTATATGATGCATATAGCGCTAATCTTCACGTGATTGTAGTACCAGAGCGTAAATCATTATTACACCTAATCATGTTCATGTCAGAATACCTTTGCATGAACTCGTGTGTCAGCATATATCGATGAGCACTCGATGTGATATATTTATTTATGTGAGATATTGTGCTTACTATAAGTTATATGCTTATTTACGAATTTGTGACATATTGAAGTCTTGAGATATTGCAGGCTACGGTAAATATTTTTCATACTATACGTAGTATGTATATTTTGGAAACGATACTTGTTTTATAGTGAGGGTTATTATGTTTTTGAAAAGGTTTTTACAAAAATTTATTTTTAGACCCACTCACCCTTGTTTTTCTCCCCTCTAGGTTTTAGTAGCTGAGCTTTCGTAGCAACGAGGATTCTTGACAAATCTTGGTATTGAAGATTACCTTCAATGGTATAATTCTCATCCTACTTTACTGTACTTTACTTATGCCCTGACATCACTTGTGAAATGGGTTCATTCCCGCTCACAAGCACGCTATTATATTTAGGCACTTTTAAGTTTAAATTTATTCACATTTTCCTCATCACTACATTTTATGGCTTCGTCACCTTCCTAGTGTCGGCTAGTACAGCTCGATTTGGAGTCCAGATGGA